AGATCTCTGTTGGCATCTGGAATTGAGACAAAGAGACGGTTTTGGAAATATGTGCTATAATTGTAGGAAAAGTTCTAAATTTTGTATTGGGTGAGGGGATGGAGCTGAAATTTGATATTGAGGTCTCTGTATTTGGGATTGATGTTAGGTGGTGGTTTTGGAAATGTGTCCATAACTGCACGAAAAGTAAAATTTGGTGTTGGGTGAAGAAATAGAGCAGGAATATCGATGTCACTGTTGGTGTCTGTGGCTGAGAAAAGGAGCTGGTTCTAAATTTGTACTAAATAGTACCAAATTTGCTAATGGGAGAAATTGCAGAGCTGAAATTCTGAATTTTAATATTGAGGTCATTGTTAGGCGTTAGGGTTTACATTTGGAAACGTTGAAATAGTTTTGGACACAATAATTGGATGTGGGTCTATTATGCAATGATTTTACTAATATTTTTAAGACTCTTTGGTGTATAAGGTTAACATTTTCCTATTTTTCTTTCCGAAAAAGGAAAAACTTGATTAATATATAAAACCTAGAAAGACTGAAAATTTAGTAAGATTTATGAAGTTCTGATTAGAAAATTTTGGCAAATTGTAAATTTTGAGTACTAACAAGTAAAAAGGCTGTAAGTTCGGCCAGGTCGAACTTTGAATGTGGAGGGTATTCATTTACAACGAATTTGGCAATTTTCAAAAAAAAATCTGTTAAAATCTTAAATGTAGCCGTTATATTAGGGTCTATACGACGGCGTGGACGGCGTGCAAAGGCAACTTTTGTCATAAGCCATTGCAATATTGAAATGCGGAACCTGAAGAAAAAAATCGGTGAATAATGTAGCTAAAATCATATAAATATTGAATTTTGGGGGCTATACGAAAACGTGGACTTGCACAGACAATTTTCTGTCTTAGGCTGTAGTATTTATTGCGAACTTCAAATACCAAATTTGAAACAATTCCGGTGAATAAATTCGCTAAAATCATCAAAATACCGAATATCGGAAGGTACCGTCATAGGCTGTAATATCCATTTCGACCTTCAAATGCCATATTTGAAACAATTCCGGTGAATAAATTCGCGAAAATCATCAAAATACCGAATATCGGAAGGTACCCTTATATGGGGGCTATACGAAGGCGTGGACTTCCAATTTTCTGTCATATGCTGCAGTATCCATTACGAACTTAAAATACCAAATTTGGAACAATTCCGGTGAATAATATCGCTTAAATCGCCAAAATACCGAAAATAGGGAGGTACCATTATATGGGGGCTATACCAAGACGTGGACCTACATGACCCATTTTCAATACCAAAAGTCCTGCAGACATAATATACAGTCGGACAAGCGGACGGACATCGCTAAATCGACATACAATTTTATGCTGTTGAAGATTATATATATTTTGTGGGGTCTAAAATGTATGTTTCGAGGTGTTACAGACGGAATGGCAAACTTTATATACCCTCCATACATAAAAAAGTCTAATACGAACTGTTGGAATTAATCTAAAATTTTAAGTTGGACTTTTCGCTGACGAAGTAACTGTCACTTGCTAGTTGTGATATGAACAGACGTAGTTTTGTGATATGAACAGACGTATAACAACAGTCCTCATTTAAGTGTTGCTCTCAATTTTCAGTATTTTGAATTTTTCAGGATTTAATCGCATTTTCCAACCAAATTCTTTGTTTTTCCCTTTCCTCCGAAAAAAATACTCAGTGTATTTCCAATAATGTATGTTCAAATTTGAAAAGTTTCTGCTCCCAATTATCAACAGAATTAGGTGTAATTTAGCAATTATGCCCCTCATTACTAAAAACTTTTCAAAATTGTAAGTACTGCTTCACATTTCGACATAAGGCCCACATAGCGCAACGACCAATTTCAGGTGTTTTGAAAGTCCTGGTCATATGTTCCAATCAAGATTTTAAGGTTATTATGTATTTGAACGGTATTCCCAAACTACTGATATTTAGAAATTTCTAGTCACATATTTCAACCTAACAGACTTCAATTCCATATTGCACGTAGTCTCAAAAAAACGAACTTTAAACTTTTCAGTTTTGGCTTTTAACAAAAAAGTCGATCTTTCGATTTTGTCATATTTTGATTTAGATTTCTCTAACAAAGGTAGATTTTTCTAAAGTTTAGTAGTTAAGTAATGCAGAGAATAATTTGTTTAATGGGGTATTTGGCTCATACAACTTTACTGTACAATTCGCAACATTTTCCAACCGGGTCTTCCACACAAAATATTATTCCACAACTGTATGGCTGCCGTATTCGCTGTTCATTTGTGTTGTAGCCACTGCTATGCGCGCAGCAATACAATAGCTGGGGTGAAACATATTTGTTGGTATTTCGTTTTTTAAGCACTATTTGTAATTGTTGTAGTTGGTATTTGTAACACAAAGTGTACCTATCGTGTATTATGGGCATCCATTATTTCTTCACACACACATATATGCAGCACATCCATACACCGGTATGGACAAACATTGAAAAAGTGAAACAAAGCCACAAATAAATCCCTGTGCGCGTACACACAGCTAAACAAATACACAACGAGACAGAATAATATTTGTTTAGGAGACTTTATTTAGTCATAGATCTCGTTCAGTACACGCATAAGTTACAAGATAATTATAAATGACATGTAATACATGTATATATGCATTTGTATTGGTATTTTCAGTTTGCTATGTTTTTCCACCATGTTTCTTTAATTATCAGATTTTCCTAGGCCGATTTCATTTCTGGATGCAACAAACACTATACCCTCAGCCATATGGCTACAAAGGGTAGATATCATTTGATCGTGCCTCATCGAAATAAAGGTTTTAGACCTTAGGTCGAAATCCGTTTTAGGACATTTGGAGTCGATCTAGCGATGTCCGTCCGTCTGGCTGGCTAGTGCTCACGATAAATTCTGAAGGGAGTATCCAATTTAATTCAAACTTGGTACATCGTAATATTATTGTCAAATTTAGATCGAGTTCGGAGATGGGCAAAATCGAACCACTCCTTCTGGTACCTCCTCCTAATATTTGCATCAGTGCTAGGCTAGGTGCGAAAATGCACAATATCGGTCCACTCCATCCAGTACTTCACCCACAAAGGGTCAAAATTTTTTAATAATTATAACTCTTATAAAATGTGATGTAAGTGTCCGATTATCTTCAAACTTTTGCACATCACAATATTTGTAATAATACAAGACCTGGTGTGAGGATAAAATACATCGGACCACTCCTTCTGGTACCTCCCCCACAAAAGGTCGAAATTTCCGAAGAAAATATTTTCTGTCCAGAAAGAAAAGGAATCATCCATTTTTATTTCAACTTTGGAAATCCTAATATTTGCATCAGTGCTAGGCCAGGTGCGAAAATGGCCAATATCGGCCCACTCCATCAAGTACCTCCTCCACAGAAGGTCAAAATTTGGAATAATGACTCTTTTAAAATGTGAAATAAGAGTCCGATTGTCTTCAAACTTCACACACTTCAATTTTTGTATTAACACTAAGTCTGATCTGAAGGTAGAATATATATATCCACTCCTTCTGATAACTCCACCACAATGGATCAAAATTTTGAATAAATATATCTTTCATAAAACGCGAAATAAGTATCAGATTCTCTTTACATGTCACATATACTATGAAATATGACGGACTACTCCTCTCGGTACATTCCCTACAAAGAGTCAAAATTTCGAATAGTTATATCTCACATTAAAAGCGAAATAAGCATCAAATTCTCTTTAAATTTCATGTATGAAAATATTTTTACTAATACAAGTTCCGGTGTAAAAATGATAGTCATCGGCCTACCTCTTCTGGTACCCCTCCAATGTGCATAACACCAGATTATTCCCAAAAAATGGTTATATATGTCTGATTTGCATCAAATGTTGCACATCCTCATATTGCAGGGTGATATGAAAAAACTGCAACCAAATTCAGACTGCTGTCATCTCTAAGCCGCTCGTCCGACAGCTGTTAAAATTATTCCAGTGACAGCTCATTATATTGTTTACAGCCGTGATACTGGTAGCGTAGCCCAACGTCAAGGAAGTTGACGGAAGAAAACAGCAACATCAGCATAAATGGTTCGAAAAGTAAAGAAGCGACTTGATCGAAACCCGCGTCACAGTTACCAAAAAATGGTTCGTGAGCTGAACATATCACAATATTCCATTCGGCAAATATTGAAAAATAAGCTCGGGGTAAAGCCTTTGAAATTCCAACAGAAAGAAAATAGACTCAAAAGAGCTAAAGAGTTGCTTCGCTTGGCCGAAAGTGGTGAACTGCCGAATTTGGTTTTCTCCGATGAGAAAGCATTCGTTGTCCAGGAGTTTGTAAACACACAAAAAACAAACATGGTGAGGGTGTGGGGCCATAACAGCCGATGGTCGCTCTCCGCTCGTATTACTCGACCGTTGCATCAGAATAAATGCGGAATATTATAACGAAAATATTATGGAGGTTGTATTAAAGCCTTGGGCACGCAAACATTTTGGCCGCAGACCTTGGACAATCCAACAGAACGCAGCACCATCGCACTCAGCACACGTCACCCTAGAATTCATTTCCAGCACACAATGGCCACCAAAATCTCCGGATACCAATCCGTTGTACTATTGTGTCTGGAGTATTTTGGAAAGCAAGGTTGGCAAAGTGTCGATCACCTCAAGCAAGCGCTTCGCTGGGAATGGGCCAAAATACCACAGAACAACATTCGGGCAGCGTGTGATGGTTCATTGGCCCAAAATGTCGTATAATAAATAGCTTTCAAAACATTAACAATTTCCTATTTACCGAAAACGTTGCATATTTCTGCTCATTTCATATGTCCATTGTAAAGATGGGATATATCTGCCCAATTCCTTATTCAATGCTCAATTATGTTTAATATACCATCATTTCATATATTTATTTTTATATCTTAAAAATCTTCCTAAATTCACATCTATTAATTCCAATTTCGATTTCCACTTTCAGCCGAAACGACGCAATGAACGCAACATACTAACGTTCTATGAAAAAATTGCCGTCATACGCTACTATGACGAGACGAACATATCACGCAACAGTTTGGCCAAAATGTTCCATTGTTGTGCGACACAAATACGAAGGATACTGGAACGCAAACAGGAATTGCTACAACAACTGGCCACACTGAGTGAGGCGGATGCTTCGATAATTATCGAAGAAATGACACGAAAACGGCGAAAATTCGAAATGAGTGCCATTAGTTTTATTCTACATCAATGGGTGGAACGCTGTAGGCAAATGCGTTTGCGCAAAAGCATTACCAATGAAACGCTAAAGGACACGGCTGTCAAAATGGCAGCCATTCTCAATTTACCCGCATTCAGACCTTCGTACAGATGGTTGAATCGTTTCCGTGGCAAATACAAATACAACGATGAAGATTTGGGTGCTGGAAAAGGTGCTGATACGGTGCCGGGTGAATTGGCCGTTGAGGATATTATTATTGAATTTAAGGATTCTTTGCCTAGTTTTATGCAAAAGGAAATCTCGGCAATAACATCGACAGCCAACGAGTCGCTACTCAACACATCCCCGTCGGCGACGGTAAGTGAAATACAAAAGTCCCTGAGTACTTCACCCAAAACCAAAGAAACAAATCTCCGGGAGAGTATGGATGAATTTGAAATATCCGAAGATGATGAGGATGATGATATGAATGACAGTACGGAAAAGCAAAGTGATGAGGAAGTAATTGAAATTAACACAGCTCCAAATGCCAGTGAAAATGCTACAACAAAACCAGTTATGGATGAAACGAATAATAACACAATTCCGCCTGAAACTGAAGAGGAGAATAAAATCCCCGAAGCTGCCACCCATGAATTTCCCATGATGACAGCTGGCTCTGCTGCCCTTTTGCATAGTATTTTCCCCCATCTGGCTGTCATACACCAGTTTGCCTTACTCAACTCTGATGTCAAAGCATTGGAACTCATCTCCCAGCTGGGCGTGCATATGCAAACACGGGCCGAGGAAGGTGCCTACAAGCAACTGTCGCTGGCGACAACCTCAACTAGTGGTGGTGATGGTGCTGACGATGATGATGCCGCCGTGGCCGATGTAGATCTCAACGGTGATATGATATATCCCGATATTGATGATATTGTTCTAATTGAATAGAATGTACAAATCTATGATTCCGTTTTTTGTTAATTTTCAAATTAGTTTAAGGAACCACATGAAATCTACCAAATCGTTTTAATATGCCACCGCTGCCGTTTTTTATACCTAAAATCGTGATGTATTTATTAAAAATAATAATGAATAGTCTTAGAGCTAAGTTAGCCTTAAATGGACAGTTTTACTGTAAGAAATACAATTTTTGATTTTTTTTTTCAATATATTATTGAAGTGAATTGAATTCAAGATCACAAACCTGTCACCATTTTTAAAGACATCTATAGTTAAGATGAATAAATGTAAGTTATGTGAAATAAAAATGTATTTTGTTTAACAATTTAATTATTTTTAGTAATTATTTGGGAAAAAAACTGTGGTCCTATTTAAGATTTGTTAAAAATTATTTAAGAAAGGATATATTTGTGGAACAAAATTTGGTGGGCCTATTACATTTGTTATTCCCATTTGTCGGACCCCATAAAGGAAATATTCCTTAATTCAATTTCGTTTCAGTTGCGACCGCGTTTCTATAGAAATTAAGATAGAGGCCACGTCAGTCTATAAAGTATTTGTCAAATAAGTTTGCATTATGTCAAGGTGTTTTGAGCTATGCCTACCCACGTTTAAATAGACCCCAAAGAGTAAATCCATTCGGTATTTTTCCAATGGAATTGTCTGAAAATCCACACAAGGAGTTCTTTCTGAGTACTTTAACCCCCGGAAGAGAATTGTTTTTATAGATCCACGATATCGTATGGCCCCCATGCAACGGTTCCCCCCGATATTCGGTGAATTTTGCCAAATTTTTCAATGAGATTGTGTGAAAACCCCCACAAGGAGTTCTTCGTGACTACTTTAGCCCCTAAAAGAAAATTTTGTATGTAGGTCCACGATATCGTATAGCCCCCACACAACGGTAACCCCGATATTCGGTATTTTGATGTTTTTAGGGACATTATTCACCAGAATTGTTTCAAATTTGGTACTATATTCACCGAAATTGTTTGAAATTTCGTATTTGAAGTTCCTAATAGGTATTACAACCTGTGACAGAAAATTTTCTATGCAGGTCCAGCTCTTCGAATAGCCCCGATATAACGGTACTTTCCTATATTCGGTATTTTGATGATATTAGCAACATTATTCACTGGTTTTTTAAGTTCCGTATTTGAATATTGAAATGGCTTATGCAAAAGCTGTCTATGCAGGTCCACGTCGTATAGACCCTAATTTGACGGCTATATTTGGTATTTTTGAGATTTTTACAGAATTTTTAACGGTTTTTATTTTTTTGAAAATTTTCCAATTTGTTCCAAATGGTGGAATGTATGTACTTTAGTTCGGCCGACTAAACTTACTGTTTTTTTACTTGTTAGTATTATAATTTTGACGTATTGGGTTTATGTATAATCTCGTTTTTCTTTTCTGTTAATATACAATCGATTTATAGACATGTTTTACACATCATGTTCGATCCACATGTAGAGGTCTCTTATCCCTAGTCCCAAGTTATAATCTCATTTTAAATCATTCAACTCTCTCATAAAAAAACAACTTGTTTACTTACAATTCTGGGCGTTGGAACATATAGCATTTCCATGCTACATTCTGGGCTGGCCAATTGAGGTCTAACATTATTCCTGACAGCTTCCTGTTCCTGTTCTTCGGCATCTTCTTCTTCCGATTCCCCAGGTGGACTTTCTAATTCGACGGCATTTGCATGAACCGCATATACATTTTTCATATCATGAACATATTCTCCCATATTCCGTTGAAGATTCAAATATTTCTCGCGCAACACAGCATGACGTTTTAAATCTTTTGGCGAACGCTGTGGCACTACACAGGTTAGGTATGGATCTGTTTCTTTACATTTGGCATTGCGACAACGTTTGGTATAGATATTTGTCTGGGTTCGCCGATGTATTTTACGTATTTCATCTTCCAGTGTTAGGGGTTTTCGATTGTCGGACATTTGTGGACTATCACAATATCGATCGTAACCACAATTTTCGGTACGCCATTCAGGATGTTGCGGCTTTAGAGGTTCTCCCAAAAATGTCCTCACTTCATGAGGATTTTTAGTGGGACTCTGGCTGGCATTGAGCGGAACGAATTTTTTGTACATTGTAATTTGGGAATTTCGAAATCACTTGTAAAATAAAATTTAAATAAAATTTTTAGAAAAAATATTTTCAATAATTCTTTGATGATGATGGGAATTTCAAATGTGTTATGATTAAAAAATAATAATAATAATGAGTGATAAAGACTGTTATATTTAGGAGTTACAAATTTTAAACTTATTGCTCCGTTCCAGAACCTGTAAGAATTTACCCATTACGAGCTTCAAATACGAAATTTTTAATAATTCCGGTAAATACGGTCGCTAGAATCATAAAAATACCGAAGGTACCGTTATATGGGAGCTCTACGAAAACGTGGACCGACATCGCCCATCTACGAACTTAACCTACCTACTGGTAAACTATATATGTATGCGAAATTTTCCTTCGAAGGATAGAGAGATTACAACAGACGAACATCGCTAAATCGTCTTAGAATTTTACGCTGATCCAGGATATATATACTTTGTAGGGTCTTTCATGAATATTTCAAAGAGTTACAAAGGGAATGACAAAGTTAATGTACCCTCCATAGAATGGTGGAGGGTATACAAATAATTTATATATTTCAATTTTTAGTCAGATTATAAGCATTCTGTAGTATATCGTACCATTAGATAATTAACTTTTCTCAATAGAAATTTCAAAAATTTCGATTTTCCCCATAATTTAAAAACGTAACGTATCCTTTGCGTAACCGCCTTTTTTTATTGCTCTCTAAAAGAGCAAATTCTCACTGCAGAATTTTCATATAAAAATAATTTTCATTTAAAACAAAAACAATAAAACTCAGTGATAAAACTATGCTCTAAATAGTTCCACTTTTGCTTGTACTGAGTTATTTATATTCAATAATTTAAAATAATTAATTCCTTAGATAATTATTTATTTGGTTATCTTTTATAATCGAAGTAATTCATCTGTATTGCTTCATGACCAAAAAGTCGATAGCAAACAACATCGATTACAATTTTTCATCGATAGTCGCCGAGAAAACAAAACAAAAATAAAGCAAAAAGAACAACACAAAGAAAAGGAAGTCGCAAAACGAGCAGTTTGCAAAAACAAGTTAAAAACTAATATATTCGCAATATTTATTCAATACTAATCAATATTACTACTGAAGTATTAACAAATTAGTTGATAAAAGAAAATGGTTTGTGATATTTCCATGCATCGGAATGTAAACAGAAAACAAAGTGTAGGCAAAATAAATCAACTCCAAGTTACATAGAATCGGACAGTGGATCAAAACGAAATTTGGGAAAACTATTCGAAGAGAAAACAACGCAAAGAGGAGTCTTTTCAAGAAATCAGTCTTTGGAGTGTGTTCTGTGAATCAGAATTTTCTCATCGTTGTGTGTTTTAATGTGATACTTTGCTTTTCCATGGCATTGTGTTTTTTTAACTAAGCCATTACAACTTCAAACCACTGTGTGTATTTGACTTTTTAAAGTAATAAAGCAACAACTAAAAAAAAGTGTTGGGAAAGAACAATACCCCAATTCTAAAGTTAGTTTTGCACATAAAAGAAAGAAAATCAAAATAGTGCGAGAAATAAAATACACAAATAGCTCCAAATACAAAAGAAATTCTGAGCGATTCACAAAACAATAACAACAACAGCGACAATTGCAAATTAATTGGAACTAATTGTTGGAGAGCAGACAATTTCCAGCCATCTGTTTGCTTGTTTGTGCAAAGTTACTTGGCTACTGTGATTTCTGAATTCCATAACATCATCATCAACCCGAGGGACGTACATGCGGCAACATAATGTGGATAGAACCTAAAGAACTTCTATTACCTTCGGCATTTTGGTAAGTTGGGCAATACTTTAATCTGGTGGGTAGGCGTACATGCAAAATATAAACAATAAAATGAAACCCCCCATTATTGATAAGAAAAATTCTAACGAAAATTTTCAAAGAGGGGGGTAAGAGTGCTAAAGGGTGCAAATAAATTCACAAGTGTTTTATAAGTTGTAAAACAGATTTGTTATTTGTGAACGAGTCGAATGGCATTTGTTTATATTTTTCTATGGATCTCACATCTATTTTGGTGGAGCCAGAGGTAGCACCCAACATGGGGCCAAGTGAATAAAATCGTCATTGCGTTTTGTTGTGTTGTACTCTGTAATTTGCGAAAATTATGAAATTATCAATTTCCCACAACTGTTTGTTAAACTCTAATTTATTTAAATGTCATTTCCGTTCATCAGTTTAAGGTTTCCAATTAGAATGTGATAAGAAATACAGCTCAGTCCAATGATGGTCCCTACAGTTGTTTCTAAAAAAAATGAAATGAGCCTTTGAACGATTTTACTTTGCCTACACCGATGCTTCAGAAATGTTATTCGCAATGCAATATTTTTGCTCTACATAACATACATAATTGGAAAAGGATATTCCATTGATGAATCACTTTATCCTTATGTAAACGATAAGACGTTTCCATTCCATTTAAAATATTCCAATATAGGCGGGACTCTCACCCAAGTATAAAAAGTTCTAGGTCGATTAGAAATGTTCATTTTTTTGTCTGTCCGATGAATTTACAATGCAATAGTCGACTAGACAAGCAAAAAAAAAACATTAAGTTCGCCCGAGCCGAACTTTTAATACCATCCACCTTTGGGTAAAGAAAACATTTTTATATAAAAGTATCTGAATTCAAACGTTTTAGATAATCCTGTTGAACTTTTTAAAAACCCATAAAGTGGATGAGGCCGTTATATGGGGGTCATACCAAAACGGGAACCTATATGGGCAATTTTATACTTCGAGGATTGTCATCTACCAAACCTTCTTAAATACCAAATTTGAATTAAATACCAAACAATTTCGTGGGTAAATGTTAATGGGATTATCAAAATACCGAATATCGATGGGTATTGTTATATGTGCAATATAGTACTCTGCCACCGAAGCTAGAACCCATTACGGACTAACAAATACCAATTTTTAGACAAATCCGTGGAAATTGTGGCGAAAATCATCAAATCGCCGAATATCCGCAGGTAACGTTATATGGCGGCTATATCTAAACCTGGACCGATATGTCTCATTTTCAATACTAACAATCCTGGAAACAATACAAATGCTTGTGTAAAATTTTTAAGCTCTATATCAAATAATTTGGGTTGTATCGTGATTTCAACAGACAGACGGAAATCGTTAAATCGAATTAGAATTTTATGCTTATCATGAATATACAGGGTGAGATGAAAAAACTGCAACCAACTTCAGACTGCTGTCATTTCTAAGCCACTCGTCCGACAGCTGTTAAAATTATTCCAGCGACAGCATATTATATTGTTTACAAGCGTACAAAAGCATTTTAGTGAGTTTTCCAGAAAAAAGTTATTTGTAATGGAATTCAAGCGTGATAGCGTGATTTCTTTATATTTGGCTGGAAAACCACAAGAAAACCGTTAGGGCACTCCAGCATTTAAATGTGAATAAATTGTCTCGTACCATTGCTCGTGTCCGTGATACTGGTAGCGTGGCCCGACGTCAAGGAAGAGGACGGAAGAAAACAGCAACATCAGCAGAAATGGTTCGAAAAGTAAAGAAGCGACTTGATCGAAACCCGCGTCGCTGTGGCCGAAAAATGGCTCGCGAGCTGAACATATCGCAATATTCCATTCGGCGAATATTGAAAAATGAGCTCGAGTAAAGGCATTAAAATTCCAAAAAGTGCAAGAACTCACACCGCAACTGAAAGAAAATAGACTCAAAAGAGCTAAAGAGTTGCTTTGCTTGGCGGAAAGTGATGATCTGCCGAATTTGGTTTTCTCCGATGATAAAATATTCGTTGTCGAGCACTTTGTAAACAAACGAAATGATCGTGTTTACTTGCCAAAGAGGTCAGCTGTAAATGGAAACCTTCGGTTTGCCACCAAAACTCAAGCCGATGGTCGCTCTACGCTCGTATTAATCGATCGCGAAAATTTTCTGTAGGTTGTATTAAAGCCTTGGGCACGCAAACATTTTGGCCACAGACCTTGGACATTCCAACAGGAGGTTCCTCGCATCATTTCCAGCACACAATGACCACAAATCTCCGGATACCAATCCATTGGACTATTGTGTCGGGAGTATTTTGGAAAGCAAGGTTGGCACTAAAAAATAACAAAGTGTCGATCACCTCAAGCAAGCGCTTCGCGGGAATGTGACAATATATCGCATATCAACATTCGGGCAGCGTGTGACGGTTTCATTGGCGTTTGAAGGCCATAATTCGTGCAAAAGGTGACCAATTCGAGCAATTCTAAATTTATTCTAAAATTTGATGCTATTTCAGAAATTTTTTGCATTCATTCAATAAAGTTAAAAGAAATTATGGCGTTTGACTTTTTTGCAGTTTTTTTATCTCAACCTCTATTTGCAAATTTTTGTAAAATGTGGAAATATGTGTGAGGTATTCCATTACCCGAAGTATTCCATTTCCCTTTATGATATCGAAGAAAATTGTAAAACTAGTATATTCTTGCAGGTACTCGAACAGAGCAGACCTTTGGCCAATTCATAAATACTGTAAAAAAATTAAATAAATCTGACAAGAAAAAATTGTGCTTAAATTCTGTAACAACTGCGTGTTGTTTTGTCTCTTAAAATTGTATAGAAGTCAACGGGAAAACATGTCCTCATCACAGGGAATGCTTTGTCCGCTGGGTGACGACGAACACCTTTTGCGGGGACCCGGTGTTTACATTACAAATCCCCGCCACATCAGCTTTGTTAAGAAAATGTTTCCAAATTTTAGGCCACGTGAAAAAGTCTGTCAAGAATGTAAAGCCATGGTTGAGAAAATTTACAAAATTAAATATAAAAGAGCAATGGAATTGCGTAAAAGTCATTCATCTACATCTTCCTTGCCAAATGTCTCTGATGTTTCCAAAGAAACAATTACGGAAACATCTACTGAGGATAGTGATCAACCGACAACCAGTCGTGAAGCTGCCGAGAGGCAAAAAAGACGTGAAGAGGCAAGAAATAATGAAGAAAACATGCCTGGCATTAATGTTTTGCGGGGAAGACGTTTGCCCCACATTCAACCGGCACCTAGACGACAGCAGGCTGTGTAT